TCAATGGAAAGGTCGAAGGTTCGGCCACAGGTAACGGAAGGGCTCCGCCGACTCACACTATCGTATCTCTCTTGATTATACTTCCGACATATGTAACTCGCCGTACATGGTACGTAAAACGATTTTCCTTTTTAACTATTTTTTTTTTTACGACCGAGATATGCGTTAGAGGGAAAAACCAAGGACGTTTCGAGATCATTTTCCGAACGACAAAAAAGGATCGCGCTCTCTCTCTCTCTCTCATTGTATTATTTTGCAATTGATCGATGGTCTTGATTTTGGGGAATTCTATTATATAGGAAAAAGAAAGAGGCTTTTCTACTTAATTCTCCAAATTATTTTGACTTTTATTCCTTCCCGAGAAACGTATCCCGAGATTACGGTACCAGAGATTTTGCTACCAGATTATTTTCGCGCAATACTGTAGTGGATCCCGAAGTATGTCATAACGAGATCGCGAGGAGTATCTGCGCAATGCGTGAAATCTCACCCCCCCTCCCTCCAAGGCCTGTTATAGAAATTAAATCTGCCGCCTACGCCAATGGCGCGATTAGAAAGTCGCGATAGATTAATATTTCCGGGCATTTTTGCACGAAATTTTATCAAAGTAGTCCGCGGGGACTTACGTGATGCTGGAGAAAATCGTTTATTAGTCTTCTCCGCCTGGCGTGTATTATGCCCGGCTGTTAGATGTATAAAAGTCTCGTTTCTTCGCTCCACGCGTGTCCGTTCGTAACAAAGTCGCGGCTATCGACAACGCTAATGAGAAACCGAGCTCGGTCGACGAGGAGCAAAAAAACTTCCCGAGCCGATTGTTATCTTTCGATTAGAGTTAGAGGGAGGTTTATGAGCGAAATATTTAGTTAAGTATGCAAAATAAGCACGGAGGCATCTAAGGCTGAAATAACACGCTTCGTTGATAGACGCTCGATCAATCATTAAGCCCGATTGAAGACTAGACACGTAATTAGTCTCGACGTAAAAACTCAATCGTCGCGTATCCAGAATGCATTGGTCAGTCAGTTGACTGATTTAGTCAATGATTACGTTACTCAAAAGAGGACCAACGAATCCAATCAACTTGCATCGTGAGACTTTCTCCTTCACTATTAAATATTCAATCATGGAAATTACGTCCGGGGAGGGGGGATTTCTGTTAAAACAGAGTTTACGAGAAACTAATTGTAAAGTAAAATTCTACTCGTCGATCGACTAACAGCGCCGTTTGTGTGCCTTGGTATCGAATGCGTAGAATTCGACGGAGGAACTCGCATTAAACTTTTATTATTGATTCACACGGAACGAGCCAGGGATTATCGGGCCGTAAACGTCATGAATATTGTTGTAACGAATCATCCGATCTCCCGTCGACTAGGAGCGCCCGTTGCAGCCTTCGTCTCCTGTATGGCCGTACCGGCATTCCAATGGTGCTGCAACTGTTTTGCTGCACTTGATCGCCTCTCACTACCAACGACGTTTGCGATACTAACAAACGCGTAATGCGCTTCGGCGGGAAGAATAACCTCGCGTAATTATTATTATTAGGCGTACGGTTAATTGGAAAAAGATCAACATACCGCGATCGCTTGGCGGGATGATTCTTGCCGTAATGAGAGACTTATGATGTCTCGACGAGAATAGAATTAATCGCAACGCAACGGTGATATTCCACGGTGAATTGTATTTCGTTCGATGACTTGAACGGAGTTCGAGAGAATTCGAAACGCATTATCCTGTGAAAACGAAAGTCGTCTTAAATACACGTCGTGAAATTCACATGGAAGATGATTGACGGATTATTAAAATACAAATGACGATTTTTGCCTCGAAGGAGCGAAAATATCTGCCGTGCGTCCTAATCGAAGAATGTAATGCAAATTTATGCATAGGCGTTTAAGAAGAGATTGATGGAGCTTTCGACCCGGTTCCGTAAAATACGAAACGAAAAAGTAAAAATGCGAGGAGATTGAATAGCGTGCACGTGAAGTTAACGGACATCGGCGGAATACAGGGTCGCGAAAAAATCTCTTTACGAGATAAGAGATTACCCTCATCCCGGCGAGGATCGCTTCGAGCACGACGCGTTTCTCTTCTTCTCATGCGGAACGACGTGTTTATTTGCGAATCGACCTCCTATCGTTTCTATCGCTATAAGCATCTCTCGAGGAATCTGTTTCTTTTTCTCTCCAACGCCGCTTCATCTCGTTGTCTTTTTCTCATCGAATTTATTCGCAGCCGTCGACGTTCGATTTTCTTTTGTTTTTTTTTTAATTGGATCTCGGATTCCTCCGGAGACACACCGAGTTCCTTCGTTTACATTCTGCAGCACTCTGTTGCTTTAGTTCCGGAGTTCCGACACAGTTATGATAAAATGTAAGCGATAAATGTCGAAGTCAATAGTATTTTGTATCGTAACTTTATACGCGCGACCGAAAAAAATGCGATACTATATCGTGCAGTTCCAATGAAGCCACTTCCCTTTTAAGGAGTCAGTTCCTTTTATGGTTGCGGTGTTATCGGGTTGACTTTTTTTCAACAAGTTGTTACAACAACAAGTAGCATAATTAACGCATCGGGTAATACATTAGACGAGATTATGCCTTTCACTCCACATTTGAACCCTTCTCAATGATTACGCTGAGAAAAAGATTTCTTCAAATTTAATACATTTTACTGCATCCAAATAACAAATTTCATCATTAGCATGCTCCAATTGTTCAACCTTTCAATGTATCTTTATCTTAAATAAAAAATTTGAAACAAGATAATTTTCTTATAAAGAAATTATTTTCTTTTACATATTTATTGTAATCAAATAATATTTGATTAAAAGATATTATTTCAAATAATAGCACTCTTTCTGTTAAATAATAGAATTTTCTTGAATGAGGCAATAAAATATTTCTTCAAACAAATAATATTTCTTATATGTTGTTTCTGTAAAACAAATTTTATTAGTCAAATAAATAGAAATACCGAATCTAAAGAAACCTTTTTCTCTGTGTGTGTGTGTTTGCACAAGTGTAATTGTAGCCATTAAAAAGAGTCGTATTGAAAATGTTTTCATTAGAATAAGTTCAGTTTGTATCATCATATTGTTCTGCAACGTGCATGCGTAAGCAATAAATTATACTTTAATGAGTAACTTGATGAGATGCAGTAACATCATAGTGTCGGTCATCGGTGGTTCAATATGTGTTGCTCAGCTCTGAGACACGTAACGAAGAAGATCCGTCTACTTAGAATTTTTTCGAGCAGATTTATACGCGGCGGTGGCTTTACGTAAGCCTGCGTCGCGCTTTCCGACGTCGGAAGTTGAAGCTTCGCCGAGTTACGCGACGACGGGATTATGCCATTCCGCGTGTTATACTCCTCAGATCACACCTGTTCGCCGCGCCGAAATCATGCTCATTAATCTTCGCGGAGTGGATACCGTCTAAGTGAACGAACGAGAGTGCTCAATGACGAACCGAAATAGACTCGATTCATGCGCGTTTACTCACGTACGCGGCTGATCTGAAATTCGTATTGACCGCGAAACTGTCATTCGAACGGAAACGTCCCGACGGTTTCGCGGCGATCAAAGGGCGCTGATATGCCGAGATATAAACGTTTCGATGAGAATCTACGCCCCGTTTGCGAGAAAAGCACCCTAACGCTCTTGAGATTTCCCTCGGAGAATATCCCTCTCGCCGAGAGAAAAACAACATTATTTATTCGTCCTTCCGATAATCAAGCTTCTTTTTTAAACGGCGTGTTTATTTGTCGCGGAATATTTTCATGTGAAGGAGATATTCATTCGTTTTGAAATTATGAATTGTAGTGTCGCATTTGACGTAACAGTGCCAAGGCTGATTAATATTTTCCACTCCTGCCTGCCACTATATTATAAATATGTCTATAATGTGGACTAGCAGAAGAACGAGAATCGTCAATGTCATACGACTCTAGACGATACAGACGCGGAGTATATTTCCCCTCCGTCTTAAAATGTTTAAATTCATATGTTAGAGAAAGTCGTGCAAGGCAACGTTGATCGCGGCGCAATATTAAGAAATATCAGGTTGCTTGCGTACGAAACGTAATATTCTCGGGCAACTTCGGCGGAAGTTCTTTCCGTGCTGACAACTTCAGGTTATGTCGTACGAATTTTCCCAAACGAGCAACCATCTTGATAGTATCATTACGGGCGAGAACAAAGAATCACCCACGCGTCCTCAGTTTCGCACGCTGCTAAACATTTACGCATGGTAACGATCGATTATAGCAATAGTCACACACAGACGGTTGGAGCGACGTGTCACGGAAAGCGAGCATTTCATACGCAAGCAACGGTCATAAAGGCGCCACACTCACTGTTAAAGACTAGCAGCTTCCGCGTGGAGCCCAGCCGTTTGATGGGTGACTTGACGCCGTCGATCTCTTCCTCGTCCATGATCCCGCGCTGGTGTGGACCTTGACTTCCGCTGCTCTCTTACCGCAAGGGGGACAAGGGGGGAAGATGCGTTCTATCGCTGCACTCGCGGGCACTCACTCACATTCGCGCGCGAAAGAGAGAGAGAAGATATGGACGCGCGCGCGCGCGCGCGTTACACTCGTTCAGAGCATTCTCTCTCGAGCACGAGGCCCGAACGCGTCTGAACCGGTTTGGCGTCGTTAGGGACGGAGACGGTGCGCGTTTTTGTCTGTGGACGCACGCAGCGCCCCGTTCGTCGCGCGCGCCTTCCTCGCTCGTGGTGCACTCACGGCTCTGTTACGCTTGATCGTCGCGAGCGAATGTCGTCGACGGAGCGGGCCGAAGCTGTCCGATCGAGCAATTCGAACGCTCGACCACCGAACTACGCCGGTCGCACCGAGAGAGCGAAAGAGCGAACGAGCACGCTGGGACGGCTCCTCGCCGCGTAGTGCGCCGGCTGGCCGCCTCGGCAGCCCTCGAGGCTGCGGATATTCTTGGACGTATATTAATTCAACTTCGGGGGCCGCCCGAGTGCATCGTCGCGTCGCGCTTCACCCGCCCGATCGCGCCGCGTCTCACCGCCGTTGCTTGGCAACTGACGATAATTGCCGCGCTCGGGGAATCGGTGGCGCCATCTGACGTGTACATAAATAACGCTCGACGTGATAAAACAGTGCGCGCTCGTCACGTAGTTTGGAGTAATCGTTTGAAGTAAGACTCCGAGGAAAGCGCGCTTGACTCCTCCTTTCCCAATCTTCTGTTAAAATCGGCTAGATTTCTTTCCATCTCGTTAAATTCTAACCTATCATCAGCCGGGAATGTATCTTCGCACAAACATGGCGGATTCAAACGTTTCTATGACTACGGTTAGCAAAACATTGCCGATATAATACCTGATCTATTAAAGTCGATTTCTCGGGAAAAATGGATCCTGAAAAGACCGTTTCGAGTAAGGTTGCAGATCGACCGGTTACCCGTTGGCGGCGAGAGGATGCACCTAGCACCTCGACCAAGATCGACAGGCCGCCGACCGGTATTGTGAGACCGCAGAGCAAGTACGATCGGCCGAGATCTCGACGAGGGCACGAGTCGTCGGAATACAGCTTTCGCTCAGCGACGCCCAGACGTTTCGCCCTGACGAGGCCGCCGTCGGCGTCTTTTCTGTCTAATCGCGTGCCAACCGCGAGCTCAAGGGTCGTCAGGATGGATTCCGCATTGGCTCGCACGGGCTCGCTCGCTGCGACCAAGCAGTTCAACGTCAACGTATTAGATCGGCCGATAACACAGCATGGCATCGCGGGCGTGCGACCGGGAACCACGAGGGGCTTACCGATGACTAGGTGGGTTAAGGCTGTATTTTTTTTTTGTAAACCGTTACGATTTCGTAATAACAACGTTATTAATTGAGTAACCAATATTTATTTTTATTATTTTGTACGTACAAAGTAGTCACGGAAAACAGGTCTTGATGAGAAAGACAAGAATTCTCGTTATTTCTGGTTACTTTGAAAAAATATCTTCTCCAAATTTAAGCAAAAGTGTTTTGCCTCTCTTTCGAAATAACTGTCCCGATAGAAACAAAAACTGTGAAAAATTTCAGGCAGATTCAGGACAAGAGGTACTACGAAGGGTTGCTGCAGCTGAAGATAAGGGAGCTGACGCAGGAAATCGGGAGCATAATGAAGGACATCGACATGCAGAATAAAGAAAAGGCCACTTTTCTGCACTACGACAAGAGAGCTAAGAGCCTGGCTGCCGAGTTGACCGTTCTGCAAGCGGAGTTGGCCGATTACAATCTCATCGTGGACAAGATGACTTTGGATGTCGACAAGGAAACGATAGAAGAGGAAGCCAAGGAGTTAGAGCTGATGAACGAGCGTAGGACAGTGGAGGTCGAACGGTTGTTCGAGCAGCGCAAGCAAAAGGAACAGAGACTGCGCAAGATGGAGAAAGATATCGAGAACGAGAAGAAGCGAACCGAACGCCTGATCGAGAGCATGGACCCGCATACGAAGGAGAAGTACGACGATCTATCCGGACAAAGAGCTGAGCTGCAGGAGCAAGCGCATCAGATGCAACGTGAGCTGGATCAACTGTCGAAGGAGCAGGCTCATTTGGAGGAGCAGATTGCATTGTCGCAGGTGAAACAGGAAGCGGTGAAGCTCCAGGTCAGGATCATCGAGGCGGAGGAGAAGCGAGACCGGCTGCGGGACGAAGAACGCAGGCGATTGTCACCGGAAGAGGAGAAGGAGCAACTGCTGCAGAGAATAAAGCGCGACAACACGGATGTCGCCGCGACGGAGGCGCAGATACTAGAGAAGGAGAGGAAGGTGAGCGAATTGGAACTGGAGCTGGAGCAATTGGAGACAGACATGGAGGACAATCAGTCTGAGAAGCAAACGAGGTACAAGGAGCTGCGTAAACGGGAGGAGACGATTGAGCAGTTCATGTCAACGTATGAGCGGAACAAGCAGGAGGAGAGCGACAAGCTGAAGAAACTCGAGCGAGACGTCGTCGACAAGCTAGCGGCGGTGGCGAACGGAGTGGTCAACAACGAGTACCTGACGGAGGCCGAGGAAATGGCCGTGCTGCGCGACAAATTCCCGTACAACGATTATGAGGCTACGCATCGCGAAGACGACTTCAACACCCTGAAGAGAGACTATGCGACTATGCAACAAACGTTCAGTAAGATGAGGATTCTAGAGGAGAAGCTGCATCTCGAGTCCAAGCGAATGAAGGAGAGGCTGAAGAAACAGCAGAGCGAGCTGGTCGTTCTCGAGGATCTGGACGGTCTGAAAACGCGAAACGAACATAAGCGGGACGAGCTGATCGCCGAACGGGAAGGGCTGGTGTCCGAGGAAACGATACGCGAGGACGAGCTGAAGTCTCTGCGAACCGCACACGACGAGATCAAAGCGAAGCTGGAGGAATACGAAGCTTATCCGGAGATCGGTAGCCTGGAGGATAAGCTGACGAAATTGAAAGCGGACAACAAGGAGATCGAGGAATTCATGGCTAAAGAGAAGGAACGCGTGAATTATGAGCCGCTTAAAGAGAAAGCCTTGAAATTGATCAACGATTACGGGCTGGTGCTTCAGGAGAATCTGAAATCTCTTTATTGAACCTTGCCTTCTCTCCTTCGGATATAATAATATTTACTTGAAAACAACATGCGACGTTTCTATCTCACACGTTTCGTTCCACTAATTACTAGTAACATTTACCTCACTCTCATCCGACTCGAATTCGGCCGGGAGTGTTGCTCTATTCGAGCGGAAAAATTCAATAAAACCCTGCTTGAAAAGTTTACTGGGCTCGATATTTTTTGCGCGCATCAATTCCCAAAGCGCGAGGGCGTTTGTACAATCACCTGTTTTACCTGCGAGCACAATTGTTAACGTCAGTATACCTCGTGCGTGCATGATTTTAGAAGAAAATATACTCACTGTAAAAGGTAAGAAGCGTGTCGCACAAAAGAGATTGGTTGACATTGTTTGAGTTCTCACTCGCCTCGACAATTCTCAACAAGGCGTGCACGTCGTTTGTCCTTTGCGCGAAATTGACGTAATGCATGATTGTGTTTGTGGCGATCCTTTGCTTCTGTAAGAAAAACGGTAAATGAAATGTAATTCAGGGGAGAGAATAACACGAGAACATGATTCAGTTACCTGCAATATAACTCGCAGTTCTTCCATTTTATTTAAATTTGCCAATGCTATTACCACGATAGTGTTGGCCACCTCGACGCTTTTGATAAGCGCCATCATATCGTACACCTCGTTTATATGTTTATTTACATCCTGCAAATGCGAGTTCTCTTTCTCACGTAACAATGCTGTGAACACCTCCACCGCTAAAGGTAGCTTCCTGTGTATACGCATGCATGCTTTGAACGTTTCTACCGCCGATGGTATATCGTTCTGTCTCAACGGTATCGCTACCAGCGGCCGCAGCAATTCGGTACTTATGTTGCAGTAATTCTTCCTGATCAGAAGGTCTAACATGCTCTTCGTGCTTTCTTTATACCTGCTCTCTGCCAGCGCGTTCAAAAGCTTAGCACAGCTTCTGTCCATGTTCTTCCAGTTGTTGACGTTGGAAAAATTCTCGATAATGTTGAAGGCCGCTTCCGTTTTGCCCGTCTTCACCAACGCGATGGCGAAAAACAGTATCTTGGTGCTATCCACGGAGAATGTGTTGGACATTTTTTGTACCTCGAGCAACAATTTTTCGGCTTCTTTTAGTTTGTTGTGCTTGACGTACAGATCAAAAAGTATTATCTTCATGCCGGGCGTCCACGTGTATCGATTTTCATCGTATTCCTTTTTAACTTCCTCCGCTCTCTTCAGGTTATTCTCCAGGTAATACGCTTCCAATAAGCGATGCAGGATAGTCTTGGTTCCACACTCGTGACTCTTCAGTTCGACGAAATGACAAGCCAGCTCCTTGGTAGTCATGTACTTCGGATGCGGTATGGTCGTTAGCAATGAGTGCTGAAAATCTTTGTTCGTCATTCTGTCGATCGTTTTGTACAGTTTATCGGTCGTGTCAGCCGGATTATTGACATGGTCAAGTCTGTGTTTCAAAAAAGTAGCGTCACGCGACGAGAACTTCACTTGGTGCTTCTCGAAAGCCTCCAGTAGAGACTGAAATTCCTCTACGGGGAGTTTCGGACGGCTGTTTCGTATCAGCTTAAACAGGAATAAGCTGACATATTTGTGACCACTTTTGAACGTGGTCAGCACCTTCACGCAATTCTCGACGTCTCTCTTGGCGAAGTAAACATCCGTCAACGATCTCATCAGCAATCTGTAGTCCAATTTCATGAGCGCGTACTCATACAGACACATAACGTCCTCCAATCGATACGAGCTCAGCAAGTAGTGTATCATAGGTGTGGTCAAAAGGTTGCCAGGTATGCCGATTAATTTCAATTTCTGCAGTGTGATGATTGGATTCGCAGTGTTCACGTACGGAAATACATAAGAGGCAAATGTATCGAAGTCAAATTCCACGTTCATGTCATTCATGGACGCGACGAGCGAGTATATCTTGGCCTCACCCTCGTTTCGATGTGCGTTCAGCAGCAGAGGCCAGTAATAATGCGGTCGTATTTCGAGACCCTTCTTCTGCATCGTCGTGAATATCACGAGACTCTGTTTCTCCCTGCTGAGCTTCAAGGAGATCTCTGCTACGTTGGTTAACGCCATAGGCTCGGATCCTGACTCAATGAAACTGTTGGCGAATTTCACGATGTCCTCGACAGGTGCATTCGTCATGATCAGTTGGGTCAGGAAGTTGTTTGCGAAGCTCTTCACGTGTGCAATGTCATTCAATGCGATACAATTTATAAGCGCGTTCGCGTCTGCAATTCGGTCCGCGCGCACCAGCTCTGTTATTAAGTTATTGATCTCAGGCTTGATTGTCGAGACCGTCGAGAGGAAATTCACGACAACAGGAATATGTCTGCCATTATCTGACACGCTCAGGGACTTGATTATCTTGAGAAGACTCAGGTTGCTCTGCGGTTCATCGTTCAGAATCTTGACCAAATTTGGAATATCACCCTGTGCCGCGTACCCACAAGCCAGCTCAGTGTACAGCTTGTCAACAGGCAATTTCGCGTCTTGCGCAAATGCAATCATATTTAATGCCTCGGTAATGTTACCCTTGGCCATGTAAATTTGTATCAATGAACAGAAGGTGTCCTCACCGAGCAAGATGTTGCTGGCCTTCATCACGGACATGATATTCTGCAGATGTTCGGTATTGCCAGTCTTGACGGCCGTGTTAAACAGCAGGCGATACGTGTCATCGTTCGGCGTCACGTTCATTTCGGCTAAAAACTCCTTGGGATCCACCGAATTGGAGTTCTCCGCGTATACATTCAGCAGAGTGTTGTAGTGCTCCAACGTTAGCGCGTTTCTCTTGGCGAGCCGCCATACCCGATCGGCGAGATCCTGCCTCTCGTTCAATTCCACGGTGGATAGGGGATTGCCGCAACATTTCAGCAGTAATACGCCCGTGCTGGGTTGCAGCTGATAATTACTCTCGTCGCACAACCGGACAATCTCCTTCAATCTATCCGCTGACCACGTTTGCCCGTGCTTTACGTCATCGCAAAAAGACGTCAGTTTCTGATCGGCATCGTCGGCCAATGATTGTGCGACGGTTGTGCTGAATGTCCTGATGCCGCACACTGCGTAATTCGATCGCGAATTTTGTACCGTCGGCGGTACATAGCAGTGATGTAAGGAGCGGAGAACATAACCTCCTTTGCGCGCCGACGTAGAATGCAGCGTACGCACCACACGCGATCTCGCATCGTTTCTAAGGATGGTCAATACGTATTTTCTCAAGTGCAGCATCTTATCGGCTTCGATCATCGTGTATTCTACTGAAAACTTGTCGTTGAAAGTACTAGGTGCATCACGAGATGAACACACCACACGCGCGATAAGGTTAGAGATGTCCGTTGTCTGTTCTTTATAGAGAATCTTTATGAGACAAGTATAGAGGTCTGTTCGTTTTCGCTGCACCGCTGAACTGCGATAAGTTCAAGCGAGACAAGTATATGTTTTCTCCATAGAGATATAAGAATAGAGGGAACAAGCCTGTAAGTGGAAGTGATAGAGGCAAAGAGAGAGATGGATGCCGAGTGTCCTATCTGTCTCTTTCTAGTTGAGCGCTGTGATTGGTTGTTACAATGAGCCGCCAAGACGACCACGCGACGTCAGGAGGGGAGAAAGCAGACTAAAATTTCGTTTTGTAAATATGCGTGCACATGTGTGTAGAATTAAAATTCGTTAAATATTCGAACGTTAACAAAATAATAATTGGACGCGATTTGTTTAAAAATGAGGCATTGTTTGAAATGCAAGGCGGAGTTTTATCCTGGATGTAACCGCAGTTTTCACTCGTAAGAAAGTACAAATACGTAACCTCAAATAATTATATGTTATTTTTTCCTACATTTAAAAAAATATGTAAATGTTGTAAGCTACCGAAGGATTTAGATATAAGGCGTAAATGGTTGAATATACTTCAACTACCTTTGTATTTTGAAAAGAAAACAGCATACATTTGCAGTGATCATTTTAGCAATGACAGTTTCTTTGAATTGGATGGAGAAAAATGTATAGCTATATCGTCGTTGGCGCGGCAGCCAATCCCAGCGCGTGACTAGAAAGAGACAGATAGGACACTCGGCATCCATCTCTCTCTTTGCCTCTATCACTTCCACTTACAGGTAGCATATATCCCTTGTTCCCTCTATTCTTATATCTCTATGGTTTTCTCACTTCAACTTATTACACTAGTTCAGCGGTGCAGCGAATACGAACAGACCTTAGGTTTTCTCACTTATTGTACCAGTTCAGCGGTGTAGCTATAACGAACATATAGTTCATGTAAGGGGCATTTTACAATGCGTTGCAAACACTTCGTCGCCAGTTACAAAGTGCTACTTTGAATTAAAAGTTGAGCAACTCTCCTTTAGCAACCGCGACTGTCTATCAAAAATGCAATTAGTAGTTGCCATCCTTCGCGACGGGGCAATTTAGGCTGATTCTACATTAATTGACTCATCGCAGGAAATTAACCAATCACAGTTGATTATTTTCGATCGCAAGAAAAACTTAATTGTGATTGGTCAATTTCTTGCGATTGCGCGACTAATGGTTTCTGCCCACAGAACGCGGGCAAAAAGCGACGCGGTAGCCAATCAACATGCCACGAGAACTAAAAGTTTATTGGCTGCCGCGTCCTGCGGGCATAACAGAATGCCTCAATCAAAGACGATAATCACTCTACGATTGCAGAATCGTTGTGTTTTTTGAACGCACCTAATTTCATTTTTATAAAATGTCAGCACCATTTTAAGGATTAATAATTGAGTTATAATATAATAACTTCATGCCTCGAAAATTGCTCCGAAAATTGATATAAAATATTAAATTGATATAAAATATTTAATTGATACAAGATATTTTAACAAGGATGTAAAAAATAGTACAAATAAGATGTACTCAATATAAATTACAGTTTAACCGTTTGAGTACCAAGGAGCGATTTTCCGCTTCTTCTGTTTCTCTCGAAAAGTTCTAGGCTGCGATAACCGGCACATGCTCGGCTTTTGTCGATGCGCGACTTTACGGCTACCATTCCGTTTTAGATAAAAATGAAATAATGAGACAACTGATAAAAGAACGAATTTTAATTGCAATCTAACATTTGGACGCAATCATCGGAGAGTAAGACAAGCGCTATCGCGCCGTTTGGCATTTCTGGATGAGGAATAAGACAAGCGAAAAAGCGCTCCTTGGCACGTTTGAACAGGGAAACAGCAAAAACGCGTAGCGCTCAAACGGTTAAGAAAGAATTCAGGGAAATATGAGATAATAATCATCTTTTTACTTGTCCGAAACTTAGTGAAGTGAAACGAACAATAAACTTACTTTTATCAAAATCGGTAACTGGTGTTCTTAGAAACATTGGTCTTGTACAAAAGTAAAATTTCATAAAAAATGGGCATCCAGGTGTAAGCTGGTTTTTTCGAAAATGGCACTACGTTAACTGCATTCGGGAGTTTCTCCTGTTACTCCGCTAGATGGCGCCAGGTAGTTCGTTGGTTGAATTTTCGTCTTTTCTGAGATGCTCGATAATCGTGCCTAAGCAAAATAGCGATCGCAGCCTGATTAAAAAAGACGTTAAATCTACGAAACTTGTTTTGTTCAACGCATAACTTGATGATATGCTTGTCATCTATGTATATATATCGAGCAAGGTAATCAAAACATCTAAGAAATTTATTAGGCGTAACCTCAATAAGTAAATCGGAGTATTCTGTATGTATGTATATAAGCCAGAGCCTTACAGATCAATTTATTCTTAGCACTTGAATCTATTATACTTTTCTAGCGAAACATGTTAATTAGAGATTGTATTGCTCAATAATTACAGTTACTCGGTGAAGATCTTTCAGTGAAATTGGCGGTATCGTAAACATCTCTGATTGGTTTTCGTCAGTCACGTGACATATCGACTTATCTTAGTTGCAACGATCGACGTTAGATCAAGCGACGCCATTACGTGAAAAAACGTTCACGACGATTGTCGTTCGTCAGAAGCGGATTCTGCAGAGACCTTCGAAATTCGCGTGTTATACGAACGGTAAACATTCGTAATCATTAATTCCGTACAGAGGCAATTGACATTTATATGTCAAAAGCTATGCCATTTGCATAAAGAGTTAATGCTAAGTTGTCGAGAAACGAAAGCGCTGCGTTGAATACAAACTCGCCGGTTGTTTATAAAAACGACGAATGTTCTTCGTGCGACTTTTCAAGTATCCTTATCGAGTAACGAATATCAATCTTATATTTTTGAGCACAGGATGTAGACTGTCATTGGCACAATTACTTTATAACTTATGAACGTTTCTCGTGTGTATTTTCCCAAAAGTAGCACTTAGTTTCATATACGTTCTTTAAATGTATGTAATATGATCATGAAATGTTATATACGTTTAAAGAAACTAACATGCTATCTGGGTTATTATCGATACGATGATAAGAAAATAGTGTCACACACATATTTAGTATAATGGTCGTCAGAAAAAAATATATTTCATTGGTATTCTTATCATGTATTTCGGCATCGTTTCCGATTTATTACAGATTTTATTGAAATTACTCTAATGATGTGTACGAAAAGTTACAATTTTCATATAATTCGATATAATGCGACAATAATGAATTTCATCGGATGACAAATTTCAGAATTTACAAATGGCTATTTATGTTTTCAGCGTTTCCTACAGTTTGCTACATGGGATACATTTCATACATCGCGATTCGATTACATAACACAAGCAACACACTAACGTAAATAACATAAATGACACATGTTTATACTCACACAACAAATCACAAATCCACACGAAAGAGTCAAATATACAGTGTTTCGTTAATAATGTGGATCCATTTTAAAGGTGGTTTTAGCATTACGAAATTGCCGAAAAAACCGAAATATTGTTTATAAATATTGCGGTCTACTATTGATTATATTTACCTGTACGATATAAATTCGATATGAATTTTTCATGTTGTTTTTCGGCCCTTTAATTGTGCTTCAAAAATTGCTAAATCCATTTTTGAAATGGATCTTACCGATAATAAAACACTGTGTATAATATAACTTATAATATAACCTAATCCAATCTGTATATAAATAGAATAGAGAATAAATACGGAAATATAAATAAATGATTAAATACATCGACGTACTTAGGCTCTTGCAGAAATTATTAAGATACGCTCAAAGCAATAAATATTTCACGCGACAAACCCTCTTAAGCGGGGAAGCCCTAGTGTGTACATACACTCACACACACACGTATATGTACGTACGTTAAGATACTGTATTGTCCTTCGAACTTACATACTAAGTCTTATAGATACGCTTTTTTTTATTATTAATATGACTGAAAGCTTCCTGTTTGAAATGGCTTCGTTAAGAATATATATATAGTCGATTACAACTAAACGCAACGCAGTTACAGCGATATTTTATGCATTTTATCTCTTCTTACGCTTTTACAGACTAAATTTACGGATTAGATTTACTGTCCATGGACTGAGATCGTGTGCTCTACTGTGTAGATCGAGGGAAGATGACTGTGCATCGAAATTGCAAGCGAGAAGCGAAATTGCAAGAAGAAGTGTCATCGGCCGTTCACCGTGAAAAACGTGAGTAGATCTGCACTGTGATAAATTTGATCAGATGTAATTATGCAAAAGATTTGTGCTCGACAATTAGTTTCGATTAATTAAAGTTTTATATTGTTTATTGAACATTCTTTTAACTCCCCATGTTATAGCGCAAATAAATAACCGAATAAATGTGTATGATGTATTTAATTAATACGTGATTTTGCTAATGCTCAATACTTCTAGGCAGTTAAAAATGTAGAAAATAAAATTGTGTGTGGTATTGCATGTTGATTATCTGGCTGTTGCTTTGGTGTGCAATTTCAAGGAGATTCTAATGTTCTCTCGATAAAACTGTTCGAGCGAGTTGTCCATGAGCTACCTGACTAGATGTCACTCTCAAATAATATATTTTCATATATTACTCTCTATCGATTACAATATTTATACATTCAATTAGAAATAGACTTATGTATTCTATCTTATTGAATAGATCTATGATTAGCAGTCACTTTGGTATTGAATATTTAGTAACGTTAATGTTAGTTTCTATGCACAAGAGGATCGCATATTTGATTTTCTACTAATATTAACTGACATTTGGTTTATTGCTGACTCGACTCGATGTATCTTTAATATTTTACTAGTTTTTTAAAATAATAAAATATAAAGATAGGACCTAATCTATTTCGCAACTTTTATCGACCTGTGCATGAACTAGAGGCATTAATTTTCATACTCGCGTGCAAGCTTAAATTAGATTTTCTTTAAAATAAATATATATTTTCGTCCTGTATTCGTTCAAATTCGTTATGCAATAGAAATGAGATCGTGTAAGAATTAATTGGAA